GTAAGTTCTAAAGATCTAGTGTACAGCATGGTGACTACAGTTAATAACACTGTATTGGATCCTAGAAAGGTGCTAAGAGAGTAGCTCTCTGGTGTTACCACCACACACACACACACACACACACACACACACACACACACACACACACAGTAAACATGGTGACTATGTAATGGATGGATTGCACAGCTGGATGAATAGAGATGGATCCTATAGATGGATATGTTAATTAACTTGAACACAGTGATCACTTCACTGTGCGTATGTGTATCAAAACATCATGTTGTACACCTTAAACATAATTTTTATTTAAAAAAGTAAAAAAGGTCATGGATTGTTTCAGTGACAAATACACTAATTTCTCAGCTTTTTAAAAGTAAGTGAGAGGCATGCCATTTTACTCACTTATTACATTGAAAGCTCCTAATTCTTATAGATTATAAGTCCTTGGACATGGAAATTCTATATATTTTTCCTACCAGCTATTTTATAGAGCTTAGTATAGAGTTCTCTGTAGCTAGCGAAAAAATACTGTTGGGTAAGTCAGCAGAAGGTCTGGGATCTAATCAAGACCTTTGCCTAATTAGTGTGTAATCTTGGGCAAGTCGCTGAGCTTTTGTGTCTCAGTTTCTTCACGGGTGAATTTTAGATAGCGTCACTGGATTGTAGTTTGGGTCATCCTACGTTATTAGACACAGATTACACGTGAAGTCACTTTGAGAGAGGAAAGAACATTGCCTGCTAATCATGCCTGACAAAATTTTGTTGCTTAACGCGATGCTAGGTTTTTTAATAGTTTCAGTGGAGAATAGAGGTTTTTGCATTTGAAAGGACTAAGAATTTGGGGAGACCACATATGTAATATCCAGGAAAACTTTATTTGAGACAAGGATTCATGTCTCCTGTAAATCCCATGCCACCTTCGGATCTCTGCTAGAAATCTTGTCAGAAGTTAGAATGACAAAAGCACTCTTTCCCAAAACGAGAACACATGTGTTCTGACTTGGAGCCATCACAGGAGCTTGAGAAAAGTCATTGGCACACGCATGATTTGCTGCCTTTCTTTTCTGATTCTGCTAAGATTTCTGAGGGACTGCAGTTTATGTCTCTGCCCCAATGGGTTGTTCTGCACCTTCCCCAGAGACGAATACCCACCCAGTGAGGTGAGGACATGGCTGTTACTACTGGGGGTGGTTTTCAGACCCCCATCTTGGGATCAAGTATAAACCTAGACACACAAGATGTCTGTTTGAAAGCCAACAATATCAAGCAATTTTTCTCAAAACACAGGTGCTGCAAAGATGATGGCAAATTATATCTTCGTTATTGCAGTCTCAGACTTCATGTGAGTTGTCTATCGGTATTTGGGATGAAAGGTGCTCAGTGGCCTCTATAGCTTACTTATTTATAATAGGGCCTTGAATTTACATAGCATTACAGTAACTAAGAATGGCAAATTACATACAGACTGAGAATCTATGGGCACGTTAAGAATGGTAATATTAAGGGGTGCCTGGCTGGCCCAGTCGGTTAAGTGTCCAACTCTTGATTTTGGCTCAAGTCACGACTCAGGGTCGTGGGATTGAGCCCCATGGCAGGCTCCGTGCTCAGCAGGGAGTCTGCTTGAGATTCTTTCTCTCTTCCTCTCCCTCTTCCCCTGCCCCTGCTCTCTCTCTCAAATAAATAAATCTTAAAAAAAAGAGTGGCAATATTAAGATAATGGATGTATTTTTTTTGATGCAGTCTAAAGAATTAAGAATATACTGCCTAATAAAAAAGAAATAGTGGGCATAGCAATTTTTTAAGAACATCAAGAAAGGACAAATTATCCCTGGAAAATTCCTGTGTTTGTTACTACCATGTTGTTTTGATCAGCAGGAGACCAAAGAGATCCTTTCCTCACAAGTGTTCTTGTTCTTTTCTTAACATGGCAAAAAAAAAAAAAAAAAAAGATGGTGATCAGTCTAAGGAATCCTAGAGCTATTTTATGGACTGGAATGAACGTGTTTCCGGGAAGGAGGCAGTGCCCTGCAGGGCATAGTGTTGAACTGGGGGAAGGCTGAAAGGATTCAGGGCAGAGTGGAGGAAAGGAAGGGCACACACTGAGTTCATCTGGTCCCAATAAGGCATTGCGTGGCTCCCCTGGGTGTGGGGGGGAGGTTGTGTTTGTTGTGTCACCATCTGTTGAAAGAAATGTGTTTGCACATATCCCAAAGGCCATCATGGAATTTTTGTTGTTGTTGTTTTTACTAAAGTGTGGGCTTCCTCAATTGGGACAACATGCCATGTTTTGGACTCAAGTTCTTCTTCAGCCACCCTGCCCCCACCCCCCGCCTTTTTTTTTTTTTTCTAGATCACTAAAAGGTGCTGATAACAAATCCAGTCCATCTAATTTGGAAATTGTGAAGGGTGGCCCTAATTGTTACTTTCTTTTCACAGCTCAGTTGGAGATGAAAGCAATTTAATTTTCAATGACTTGCTTCCAGGCTAAGATGACCATTCAAATATACTTTCAGAATATCTCCAAAGTGCAACCACTACAGTTTTCTGTCACTGTCCTGTCATTGCTCTGGCCCTGGGCATTGTCCTGCCTCAACTCGCTTACAGCAGTGGGCTCCCAGGGGCCTCACAGCCGAGGAGACCCAACAGACAGAGTGTGTCTGCTGGAACCAAAGTTGGAGTAGGCCATTCCCTTGCTTAGTATCCTCCAGTGGCTCCTGAAATGTGTCCTTCTTGGAAACACTCATTCTATCCATAGCAGAGCCTGTGTGGCACTATGCAAGACTGTTTATAAATGCAGTGGCTCACAAACCTTTGTGATCCTGCACCCCTCTGCCTCCTCTGCAAGCCTCTTTGACGTCCTTGGACTTCCAGCAGCTCCCACCTCCGGGAATCTCTTCCCCATGGACCCCACTTCTAGCAGATCATTCCTCAACTTTCCTCAACCTTAACACTGAGGCCTTCCCTATCTACCCCATTTAAAGTCACAACCCTCCCAATATTTCCTACCCCCCCTTCTGTTTTGCTTTTATAAGTTTAATTAATAGACTATCTTTTAGAGAAGTTTTAGGTTCGAAGCAAACTCCTGCAGAAAGTACAGAAGAGTTCCCATATAACCCCGGCTGCCACAGGCACAGCCTTCCCCAACTCTCAACATCTCCCACCAGCGCGGTGCATGTGTTACGATCGATGAACCTTCAGTGACCCATCACCCAGAATCCATGGTTTACATTAGGGTCACTCCCGGTGTTGGACATCCCGTGGGTCTGGACAAATGTAGAGCGACACGGATCCACCATTGTAGTGTCTTGCAGAGTAGCATCACTGCCCTAAAAATCCTCTGCCTGTTCCTCCCTCCTCTCCCCCCCTTGGCCCCTGGCAACCCGTGATCCGTTTATTATGTCCATGGTATTGCCTTTTCCAGGCTGTCATATAGCTGAGATCATACCGTACGTAATCTTCTCAGATTGGCTTCTTTCACTTCATAATATGCAAGTAAGCTTCCTCCATGTATTTTCATGCTTGACAGCTCATTTCTTTTTAGCACTGAACAATATTCCGTTGTCTGAACGTACATTTACCTACTGAAGGACATCTTGGTTTCAGCCCTTCCGTTTTTTTTATTCCTATCTGGTGTTCATCACCATCTAAATATGCTTGACTTGACTTACTTACTTTTTATCTGTAGTCCCCAACTCCCCACCTCTAGTGTAGCCTCTGTGAGGGTAGCGGTGTCTATTTTGTTCTCTGCTATATCCCAGCACCTAGAACAGTGCAGGTGTATAGTAGATGCTCGAGAAATATATGTTAAATGGAAGAATAATAAAAAAGATCTTTTCCAGGGGCCCCTGTGTGGCTCATTTGGTTAAGTGTCCGACTCTTGATTTCAACTCGGGTCATGATCTCAGGGTCGTGGGTTTGAGCCCTGCATCAGGCTCTGCTCTCAGTGCAGAGTCTATTTGTCCTTTTCCTCTGCTCCTCCCCCCACTCATGCTCTCTCTCTCTCTCTTTCTCAAATAAGTAAATAAAATCTTAAAAAAAAAGATATTTTCCAAAAGGTGCAAAAGTAACTACATTTATCTCCAGTCATATGCCACCATAATATATAAAGTACATTTCTATCTATATGAAAATCATAGCTAGTGTCCATCAATGATGTATCTAAAGTGCTTGCTTAACCCAGATCCTGGAACATAGTCAGGATTCTGCAGGTATTTGATTTCTATAAAAATGTGAACTCTCCGAGAGCAGAGACCTATTTTGCCTTATTCGCCACCATATTCTGGACACTAAGAACAATGGCTGACACACAGTAGGTGCTCCAGTGATATTTATTGGATGGCTAATCAGTTATCAGTGTATTGGCTTTCTTATTTAATCATCTGTTTTATCTATCAGATAGGTGGTTTTAGTGAGCCAAAGAGATGTTTAATAATAGTTTGTTTTTAAGGAATGACTTAAACACAACCATAGTTTATCATGGTGTTTGATCCAAGCTCAATTGTAATTTGCTGCCATACTCTGAAAAGTTCACGTTATTATTTCATCTTCTCCATGGGCATTACTAGTATGTTGGTTAAAGCAATGTCAGGAGAAAAAAATGTTTACTTATGTGCAAATGGTTTATGAATGTATCACATGCTAAGTAAGGGTAAAGAGAGACAGATAAGCAAATGCTTTCATGGCTTTGGATTTCAAATGGCCAAGGACTATTCAGTTCATTAAATTAAAGATAAAACTAAGTAAAACAGTCCTTTTCTGGAAGTGGGAGATGTGGAAAATCTCCACAGAGACATAAAATAGGACGATAGAATTCTTTAGTAGATGTATCCTCTTGTCCTGAACCCCCCCCAAAAAAAACCAAAAAAAAAAAACAACCAAAACAAGAGAGCCTCTATCTTGTTGAAGAAGTATGGAAGGATCTATTTCATGAAGGAAAAAAATGCAACATCTTTGTGGATGAATATAACATATGGTGAGTGAGGAAGTTCTTAAAAACTTACCCATCATTGTTAACATCTGACACTGTGACCGTATATCCAAAATAAGATGCCATCTGCAAAGAAAAACCATTAAGATGACATAGTTTATGTTCAAAAATAATTTTTATAGTCCTCTCTCAATTTTTCCTGAAGGATGAATCTCATTGCAGCAGATTTCTGCATTAAATTCATGGACTCTTGGACATGGACAGAGTCTTAAAGTCATTCAGTCTGACCCCATGCATAATTTCCCCTCAGTACCCCTGACATCTGCTTGGTCATCCTCTGCAGCTATTCAACAATCAGCCCATTCAATTTGTGGACACAATTATTAGAATTTTCTTTGCTAAAATTGGCACTTCTGTAACTTCTAGTCCTTAATCCTATTTAGTTCTGCCATGTTGAACCTCACAGAATGAATCTAATTCCACTCCTGTATGATATTTCATATGGAAATATTTGTAACCGGCTCACCATCATGGCCTTTCTTTCTTAGAGATACTGCATGTGATACCAAAGAAAAGATAATACCCCATGAGTGCACTGCCCAGAGAAGAGTTAAGTAGGATTTACACTCTTTGCTTTGGGCTGTTTATATCAATGAAGCATAAAAAGTGTTTTAATTTCACGGGAAATCATGTCTCAGTATCAATTCATATTGAGTTCATTGTCAACTAAGTTTTCTAAGTCCCTTCCGAGTATAACTAGCGAGCCACATTCTAGCTCTTAATTTTTTTGTTTTTCAAGGGATGTTTCCAACATTTATCATCTTTTCAGATTCAGCCCATAGTTTTGAACTTGTCGAGATGTTTTGTTTCCATGTTTTGGCATCCAGTGCTTTAGCTGACTTGGCCTCCCATCATCTTCTAATGTAATCAGTCTACAGTCCACTAGAAAGTGTCCTCCACAGAAGGCAGAGATTTTGGTCTGTGTTGTTCAGTCTTCTGTCTACACTGCCTGACTAGGGTCCAGCTCAGAGTGGGTGCCATGTGCCAGATACTCTCTGCAGAGGGAATGAATACATGAGTTAACAAGTGTCATGAAATAATTAAATTCCCCCACCTCTTTTCTCTATTCCAAACGTATACAGTTGCTATAGATGAATATTTGTGTCCCTTCCTTCCCCTAAATTCAAATATTGATCCTAACCCCCAATATGATGGTATTAGGAGGTGGTGCCTTTGGGATGTGATTAGGTCATGAGGGTGGAGCCCTCATGAATGGGGTTAGTGCTCTCATAAAAGAGAACCCAGAGAGCTCTCTAGCCCTCCTTCCACCATGTGAGGACCTAAGAATATGGCTATCTATATGAATCCGAAAACCAACTCTCCCCAGATACTGAATCTGCCTACCTTTTGATCCTGGGCTTCTCAGCCTTCCAGAACTGTGAGAAATAGACATTTGGGTTTTTTAGCCACCCAATCTATGACTTTTTTATTATAGTATTCTGAAGACTGAGATATAGTTGCCAGGTACCAAATGCTCTTTGCAGAGGGAATGAATGCATGAGTTAACTGTGTAATAATAATTCGGTTTTCCCACCTCTCTTCTCTATTCCAAACATATACAGTGAAATCCTTATTTCTGGTGTGGCATTGTGTGGCCTTCACTCAGAGGAGTTTCATCATTTATGCATTAAATGCTGAGGGAAAGACTGAAGAACTAGGTGGTATTGAGGACAAGAAGTTATAGAAAGGCCAAATTTAATAATGTTTAAAGAGCTCCTAATGATAAAAATGTGAAACAAATCTGGACAAAAGAGAAGTCTTGCCAGATTTTCAATAAACCATTAATTACCATCACTTGAGTATAGTTCAAAATTTGTAAGTTCATCCAACTTCAGTATTGTCCCGGCCTTACTTCTCCACATTTACCACAAGAGTATCATGAAGGACATTGTTAAATGCTTTGTTGAAAACTGCAGAGTAATGGATAGACCAAAGCCCCAATTTGGGGGGGGGATGTAAAAAATGCTTTGTGTTCAATAGAAAACTCTATTAATCAAAATTGCTAGACAAATATATTATTCCAAATCTACATGTCTATCTAAGAATGGAGCATCTAAGGATCCTAAACCATGATCCAGAAGGTCAAGATGTAACTTGGCCACATTCAAATGTCAGGCTTCCTAGAAGTTCAGTAGTGTGGGCTTCTGGTTAGGAGAGAATATGGGTTGCCCAGAGAAACTGATTCAATTAATGACTGGCTCCCTTAGATGGCCATACCACATTCATTGTTTAAAGAAATGTGGCAAATTTCAACAGGTCACAATACCCTGGACAACTCAGGGGTGGTGGATAAAGTATGACCTCAGGCCATATTAGGTTAGGAGAATGACAGGCACGTCCCTCATTCATAATAAGACCTCAGCCAGTGATGGTGGGCGAGGAACAATATCTAATCCCTGGGAGGAAAGGACCAGAACAAGATAGCCTGTCAACCTCCACGTCATGTTGGGATGGGTGGAGGGCTCCAGTTGCAGTGAGGAAGGGAGGCAGAGCACAGGCCCACTGACTCTGACAGATACAATGGGGCCTACGAGAAGGCTGTGTTTTCTCAGAGGGAAGGCAGATACCTAGAACTCACCACCAGGCCCACTATATACGGGCCTACAATATAACAGATCCTAGTATTTAGTGACACTGCGGCATGAAAGCTGGGATCTTGTCTGTCTGATGCATGGTTATATTCCCAGTGCCTAGAACAGTTTCCAACATATAGTAGGTACTCGGTGAACATTTATTTTATGAATGAATAAATGATATGAATATTGTGATTTACTATTAGTACTGAGTGACATTGATTGGTATTAAAAGGTCTTCACCTGTTCGCCAGTGAAATTCTGAATAAAAGTCATATCTGTAGAGTTAATGATTGAAACCTGAAATCATAGAGATTAGATAGGTTACACCATTTGACAGAATTGGAGAAAAAAAAATTTTAAATTACAACTTAAGTCATTTCTAAATTTTGGGGAAGAGTAGTTAATTATTAACTATATGTAAAACAAAAATGTAATCCCATAAGAACGATCTTTAAAAAAATCCAACTGAACCCTTATTTATGGTTAAGTCTGTGATACTTTCAGATAAAATGCATGCTTACTAATCTGAAAAGGGAAAATAGAAATTGAATTCAAATGAACGCTCAGAGCCATTAACCTGATGGCCAGTTAATTGATCTAATCAGGGTTTTTGTCTAAATTCATTTCTGTGTTTACGTTATTATGAGAAACTGATGATTACGGCTCTTCGCAAAAAAACAAAACTGAAAATTTTAAATGTTATCTACATATCAAAAATATTACCTTTAATTCTATTCAGCCAGCCTAAAATCTGCAGATATTATTTACTAGACTTTTTAAAAAATGAACATTATTTAAAATATAACTTTTTCTTTTCAGAGGGTCTCTTGATTTTCTTTTCCTAATTTTGTGGTAAGTAGGTATAACGGGTCTGAATAGTATCCCTCCAAAGTTCATGTTGCCCAGAACTTCAGGAGGTGACCTTATTTGGAAATAAGGTCTTTGTAGATGAAATACATTAAGGAACTTGAAATGAAATCATCCTGGATTTAGGGTGGGCCCTATATCCAATGACTGATGTTCTCGTCAGAGAGGAGAGGACACACATAGGCCCAGATGGAAGAAAGCCATCTGATGACAGAGGCAGAGAGTGGAGTCATGCTGACACACACCAAAAAAAGGCAGGGGCCACCTGAAGCTGGAATAGATAAAAAGATCCTCTGCTAGACGTGCTGCAGGAGGCGACACACTGCCTGACACTGGGATTTCAGACTCTGGTTTCTTGAACTATGAGAAAATAATTTTATATTGTTTTAAGCCACCCAGTTTATGGTAATGTTGTGGCAGTCTCAGGAAACAAATACACTAGTGTAATAACAATTGATTTTCTCATTTCTACCATATGAGGCGTATTAAAATGCTGAGCACATCAGCAACAGTATTCTCTGCAATTATTCCTGGATGAAGCACAAGAATCGTGCTGGCTTCATGGGTGTGACCTGCACCATCACACTGGTCCCCACGTTCAGTCAGACCCCACCCTTGGTTTAATGCCCAGCTGTTGCGATCCTGAAATTCTTAATTTTGGACAAAGGGCCCTGCATCTTCATTTTGCACACTGTACATAGATCAGAAAAAAAAAATCTAGCTTCACTTGTTTTCCTTCCTTTTTTAGTAAGCAAACAAGCATACAAGCATGGATCGATAGGAGCTCACTATTAAAAGGCATTTTAAACCATTTAAAAGTTGAATGCAATGAAACATTTCTTTGCATATATAAGAAAATATCCAACAATGCATTCTTTGTACTCACATATCCAAAATTCTGTGCTCCTCTTGGAATGCCAGCAACCAGTTCTGGGGATAAAAATAGTCATTGAGAAGGGGGATTACATATATTTTAAAGTTATCCAACACATCAGTTAAAGATAGCGCTTTTGACATGAGTAACCACCATGTGAAGAGCTGGAAGTGTGAAGTCATGGCTTTGTGTTTGCGTTTGCTTCTGCTACAGACTATGGAATACAGAACAAAAGTTGTACTGTGAGATTTACCAGTCTTCATCACTGGTCTCCATGTGTTTTTGCCTGCATAGCATAAGCCTGGCTTCTCAGCTCTGTGTGTGATTTGTAGGTTAAACCTCTTACTCTGGTTTCTCTAGCTTTCACTGTGGTGACATCTTTTGTATTAGTGTAAAAAGTATAGCTTCTGTTACACGAACATGTTAAAACAATTCTGGTTACCTAAAGAAAAGCCATCATAAATGACGTGAGTCTGGCCCCCTTGGAAATGTTTGCTGGTAGCAGAATTAGCAGGTGACCTGGTAGCTAAGGGTCCCCCAGAAGGGAAGCTTCACTAATAGAAACAGAAGAGGCAAATCTGGGGGAAAGGGTCCATACAACTCATTGCACTATGATCTGGCTCTAGATTGTTATGGTGTTATTCTTGGGCCTGCCATATACCTGGGATGCGTCATTTAACCTCATTTTTCCAGTTACCTGCAATTGGAGGGAGTTGGAATTGCTAATTATCAAAAATCTTTCAGTTCTTGTTTCTATAAATCTAAACCAACCTTTGATTCATTGGGGTTAAAAATTTAGTTTAATTTAAATAGGAAGGGCCTGGAAGAGAATCCCCTTCCACTTAACTTTCCCTTCCCCTAATCCTGCCCTGAAAGGTACAGCACGAGTTCTAGCATCAACTACATCTGGTGTGCTGTGTTCTAGCAGAGGTGGGTGATCATGCTATTAGCATTAATAATCAAAGAAGATTCATTTGGGGTTAGATGTTGGACTTTTCAGTAGTAAATCCATTCATTCAGTCAACAAATATTTATAGGCAAATGGAGTATACAGTAGTGAGCAAAATGGACAAAATGCCCTGCTTTCACGGAACTTATACTCTGGTTGGAAGAGACAGTCAATTTAAAAAGCATAGTCAACGAAATGGCATATTTGAAGGGGATAAGTGTAGTGAGTGAGAAAAAACAAACAGTAAAATGGTACAGGGAGTGCCAGAGGTGGGATGGGGAAGGACGTATGACTTCTTAGGGCACAATTAGCAGGAAAGGACATGGCAAGAAAGTGACATTGGAGCAAAGACTGAAGAAAGTGAGGCTGTAAATATTATGGAGAAGTGGGAAAAGTATGTTTTAGTCAGAAAGAATGGCAAGTGCAAAGGCCCTGAGGTAGAAGTGTGTCTGGAGTATTCAAAGAATAGTAAAGAGACCATGGTAGCTGGAGAAGAGGGAGTGAGGAGTAAAGGGGTAGGAGATGAGGTCAAAGTAACTAGTAGCCTCATGAATGGAGTCTCAGGTCATTGTGAAGACTTGAATTTCAGACTGAACAAGTTGAAAAATCACTGGATCAAAGAAGTTACACAATCTGACTTCTGTTTCTAAAGGACCACTTTAGCTGCTGGATTTAGAGCAGACTACAGGGGGACAACGGTAAATGCAGAGAGACCTGGTAAGAGTCTACTGCAATAAAGTAGAAGCTGTGCTGGAAGTGAGAAGTGGTCAGATTCTGGTCATACTTTGAGAGTTTAGTTGGCAGGATTTACTCATGAATTGGATATGGTTGGGGTGTGAGAGAAAGAGTACAGTCCAAGGCTGACTTCCAAGGTATTTGGCTTGAACAACTGGGAGGATGGCATTGTCACTTACTGAGATGAAGCTGATGGAGGGTAGACCACGTTTCAGGGGGAAGGTTAGGAGTTTGCTCATGAGCACATTAAGCCTGAGACAGCTATTCAAATAGAGATGTTGAGTATTGAGTTTGAGGTTCTAGATCTTAGAACATGTATCCCTGAACCTAGAATTCAGTGTAATCTGGAGAAGTACCATGAGCCTGGAATTCAGCATAAGCTGGAAAAATAAGTGAGACTGGATGACAGTACCAAAACTCAAAGAGGAAATAAACAGCCCAAATATTTAACCCTAGGACACTTCAGTGAGATGAGAGAAATTAAAGGGGAATCAATAAAAGAGATGGAGAAGGAGCCGCAAGTGTCTGGGTAGTCGAGTGAAGAAATGAGGAGGGAATGATGAACTCTGTCAGATGCTCCTGATAGTTAAGGAAGATGAGTTGCATGAGGCCTCTGGTTTGCTTGACACAAGCTGTTTCAGCTGAGCAGTGAGTTTAAGAGGAGGGGGACAGTGGAACTGGAAGACAGAGATACAGGCAGAGAAGAGTGACAGCTCTTGAAGCAGAGAATACAGGTGCTTGCTGGAAGGGGAAGTGGAATTAAGAGATTTTCTTTTTAAGATGTGAGAAATAACAGTATGCTTGTATATTCATGGGGATGATTTAAAAAACTGATGATATGAGATAGAGAATTAGGAATGGCTGGAGTCCCTTCTTTGAGTCATGAGAGGGAATGAAGCCTAGTTTAAAGTGGAAAGTTAACTTTACAAAGGAGCATGGACTGCTCAACTTCAGCAACGGGAGAGAAGGTGAAGCGTGTCCTTGAAGAATACAACCAGGCTCAGAAAAACTAAGCTATCTGGACAGATTTCCAGGAAAGGTGGCCGAACTGGTAGCACACTGCTCAGTTTTCAGTAATCTTTACTTGGTATGAATTAAATTGGCATGTAACAACAAACCACCATCCAATATAATGGAGTTGACTGATTCCAGAATCAGGCCTATCAACCAGAAAAGACTGACTATCCCATTTGAAATACATGACGACCACTACTAAGCATTCCACAAACATTCAGAATTTCATTTAAAAGACAACAACCATCACACTCAGTAACTTTGGAGTCTGCAACCTCATATGGTCACAACACTAGGAGTTATTAAAAGTAAATGCTGGTTAAAAATGTTCATAATTATTTACAAATGATCAAGATGGGGAAATTGGAGTTTAAGATAAGTTAGAACTGTCAACTTATAAAAATATTCAGTTGGGAGGGAAAAGTGACTTTTCTTAGATCCATTTCAGTACCTCATGGTAAACCTTCTCTTAATATCAATAATACATGGAGGAAAAAGTTAGATACCTGGCCTCGAAATACATGACCTGGCCATCAACCCCATTAGTGAGAAGCAGAAAGGAGGCTAGTGTCTATCGAATGTCTTCTACCCACTAGAGAGTGTGCCACATGCTTTATAATATTTCCACTGTTTAACCTCTAAAAAGCAGGCATTCATATTCCCTAGGACTGGCCAAATCACTTTCTTGGTTTTTGGCTCACCACATCAGACTCTAAAACAAGAACAAAATATTTTAATCTTTTTGAATCAAGAGCACACTTGGGAAGTAGATGGAAGTTATGGATCCTCTCACTGGAAAAGTTCACATATATGCAAAACCTTGCATATAATTTCTAGGGGTGCAAATCCTGTGAAGTCCACCCATGTACCATCCAGAGTCCAAAGATCCCATATTAAGGACCGCTCATCTAGAGGACATCAAGTCACTCACTGTTTTTCATAGAATTCCAATTTTTTCCAGTCTAGTTAAGTAAGTAGTGAACATGGGTAGTCATGGCTTGGTGTGGTCTGATAAATGGATCATGATCTCTGATAGTGCCTTTACATATCTACAAATCATTTAAAACTTGGATCCATCTAGTTATTTCTGTGATCTGACGGAAAATCACAATGATCTTCTACCATCTTTCTCTGTGATACGCTGTCATGCATCCCTCTTAATTTCCTTGGGTCAGGACTAAATGCTGTACTGGGTAGGGGAACTTTCCAAGAGTTTAATGTCATGTTTAAAATCATTTGGCATATTTTACAGTTTCCTTTGCTAAATCACTGAGTGATTATAAGATTTGACTCTTCTAGGGTACTAGGAATTCAATTTTATCTCTGATGGTTCCTAACCCAAGAGTTCTTTCTTCTTATAGCTAATATGTAAATAGTACTTGTTATGTATCAGGGATTATTCTACTGTTTAATGAACTTTAGGAATAGCTTATTTAATCCTCATGAGAATCCTATGATATAGATAATACTATCATCTTCATTGTTATCGTCATCACCATCATCATCATCATCACCTTCATCATCACCACCATCTCTCTTTTAGAAATTAAGAAATGAAGGCACTGAGATTCAGGTAACTAGGTCACAGAGCTGGTAAGTGGCAAAGTCAGGGTTGAAACTCAAGTGGTCTAGCTCCAAAGTCCATGCTTTTAACTACCACAATAGACTGTCTTTTAATATCTTGAAGAAAAAATGGAAAGATAGGGCCTTTAAAAATTAGCTTATGTTTAAAAGAAAAATGTTCTTTTAACGAAAAACAAAACAAAAAAACAACCCTGCTTTCAACCCCTGCTTCACTGCATAAAGAGTGTTTTAGGCTCTGTGAATTTCTGCTTTGTAGGTCTTGTTGACATGAAACAGTTAAAAGAGCTCTGATGATTTCTAGGGATGGCCACATTTCATTTACTCTTAATTCTTTGTGAATTCATTAAAACAGTAGTTAAGGTTCATATGAAACAAGAAGAAAATATTGATTGATGATTGAGTCATTCAATAAACAATACCAGTCTTGTATATGATAGGTATTCTTATGGGAAGAATGTTTGTGTCCCCCCAAATTCATAGTATTGAAACCTAACCCCTAATGTGAGGTCTTAGGAGGCAGGGCCTCTGGGAGGTGATTAGGTCATGAGGGTTGGATTAGTTTTATGTTTAGAGCTTTATCCTAGCACTTACTACAATTTTTAATCAGGTATTTTGTGTTCATTATTTAATGCCTGTCAGCCCCACTAGGACCATAAACTCTGAGAGTAAGGATCATCTGTTCACCTCCATGTGTTCAACACCTAATACAGAGTCTGGCACAGAGTAGGTGCTCAAAAAATTTTGGACAAATAAATGAATGATAAATGCCTTAGGAGGAAGAAAAATGAGATGAGATAGGAGTTTACAGAAGGAAGTAAAAGACGGATTTCTGGAGGAGATGACATTTGAATTATACTTTTAAAAAAAGTAGCATTTGACCACTGGAAATTAGAGTGGCTATAGAATCAGTAGATTAAAACCGGGAATGACAGCCTTCACAGGATATAGAGAACAGAGGTGAGGGGCATATATGAGAATAGGGGTTAATTCATTCCATTATTTTGGGCTTGAACATGTCCAAAGGGGAAAAGGAAATAATGTGGAGATGTTGGGTTGGAGTCTGGTGGAGAGTTGAGTATGGACATGTCCAATATGAGATCCCAGAAATTAAAGTAAAGATGGGGGATGTTGATTTTTCAAATTTGATCTGTCATTAACAGCATGGCTTTTGTGTAGGCCATTTAATCACCTTATTTTTTTTAATGCATAACATGGGATTACCGGACTTGTTTTTTATTGCTTAACTAGATTTTATAAAGATTGATATTTAGTCTTACGGAATTTTTTGAGACTGATAAAGCTGTGCTGAAGTGTATTTTGTTTGTTTTTCTATAGATTATTATCATATACATTCTGGGATTCCACTTTTATACATTTTGTGTAGTGACAAAAATTACATTTATAAAGGGGCTTTTTAAAGGGTGACCTAACCTTATCTTTCCCGGGCTTTATAAATGACTTATATTCAGTAATGTCTCTCACCTTGCTCAGAGTCTCCAGTAAATTCCCCAGCAGCAACTGAATATCCTGTGTTAAAGAAAAGAAAAACCAATCATGCTTGAAGGCTTTACAAATGAGCTATGTCTAGAAAAATGAAAGAATTACCATAGTACTGCTTTGCTCAGAAATCTCGACAAATATTGCAACATAAAAGTTTAGGGTTCTGTAGAGGGAAAAATTAGTGAAGCCAATTTCTGTACTAAAACCTGAATGCATAATAGATCTGCTTCTTCTGAGAATGGCAGCACAATCAGATTCTGAGGGATGCTTCATAATCCACCTTAAAGTGTAAATGGTGGCCACTGCATTTTAAGGTTGTTAATTCATCAGGATCAGACATGATACTCCGAAAGGTATCTTTTGTGCTCAGGTTTTGCTATTTCTGATCATCAAGAAGGTCTACTTCCTAATTTCTTTAAGGATGGTTTTCCACAAATTTCACTTACCTCTAAAGTGAGGTGAGGTGAAAAATATAACTACATTTTGCTTAATTTATTAAGCACTCAAAATGCCAATAGGATACCAAAAGTGGGAAGCAACAGAGGTGCAATGACATGGTTTGCATGTAATACATTTTGACAATATTCTAACAACTATTTGAAGGTCTTTTGTTGTTGCTCTAAAAACTGGAAAGGACCACTAGCAGGTTGCCCCTACAGTGTTGGGCAGCCCCACTAATTCATACTATCTACAACTGGCAAAATATTTTATGTGCAAGACGCTATGATGGTTAGTGTTTGATTGCATAACTGCATACTACCGCTTAAATTGAAACACAAAAGTAACGATCAAAATCCCCCACTAAATAAGATATTGACTTTGGGGCTGAGGCCAAGGTTTTATTGTGTGAAGGAAGTATCCATCTAGTCTAATTTATTGAAATTTTTAAAATAAAAAAAATTGTTGTTGAATTTGAAGAAAGATTCTGTTATGGAACCTAGAAAATAGGCTGAACCTAAAGAAAAGACATATAATATGGCTCAACAAAAGAAAGTCTACTCTAAGCTAATAAGGAAAGAAAATCTGCATAAGTTGCAGAATAATATCAGATAAGTGAGGAATAAAATTTGCATCTGCATTTAATACGTTTGCCTTTTGAGAAACAACAAATGTGTTGAGCAATGATTCTCACCAAGGTAACTATCATCATAGGAAGCTGGAGCCACGTCTGTCTGTTTTTCTCGAGCCAATTTCCTTAGAATATCCTTGAATGAGTAATTTGCAATGATATCTGCAATACTGGCAGTGATCACCTGACCTGTGTTCAAACAAATTAATACATTAGCTGAATGAATGCAAGAGACAGGCCCTGTGAATAACATATACTCCCTTGAAAATAATCATGGAATTGCTTGCATTTTTGATGATGAATTTTCCCACATGCCAAATTGCAAGGTAAAACTGGTTACAGCTGGATAGAACTTTCCATTCTGACAGAAGAACCAAAGATGAACTACATAATTTTATCTGTCTTCCCAATGCCTTCACAATACATACTTCCTCCATCTCCAAATGAGAAAAATATCTGTGTAAAGACACCTGTTGGCAAAATTTATGAATTAAATTTTTAACGTGGAACATCGTGGCTAGAAGAAACATCATCTAATTTTGAGATCATCTAACCAAAGCGTAACTTCTTATAAGTGGGGAAACTGAGGCCCAGAGAGCATGAGTGCTTTCTCTCCGGTCATGTGGTTTCACTTTTAGGATATTTGGCATTACAACCAAGGTCTCCTTTGGCATTCTAAGAAGACATTTTGTGTTCTCACAAAATACAGATTAAATCTAAAACAATTAATAGATTGTGAAATCTATCAGTTATGTTAAGGGAGGGAATTACATAACATTTGAGCTCTTTATTTTTTATGCTAAAATGTATACATAGAGCATAAAATTATGACAATGGGAGGCTGTGAGGTCCAGTGAGATACCAGATGCTAGAATTTTAGCAAAAAAAAAAAAAAAAAAGGAATCCATGGCTGCCAACAATGATATGGTAAGAACTTTGGCTAATATCTCCCAAATAAAGTCACTATTAAAAGTCTTGAAATATGATCATATTGGGGTGGTCAAATATCCAAAAGACGGCCAGCAATTTTCCACCACAATTTCCATGCATTCCTATATTTATAATGGACATCTAAGGGACAAGTGTGATCTCATGCTTCTTGGGAGAAAATTGGAGAAATGACTTCAAGAAACTAACATTTAATATTAATTTTAGTTTTAAAGCCAAATTATTCTTTGGGAATTTACTGATAATTCACACAATCTTTCTGTTTGAAGTCCAAAAGGAATAAAACTATCAAATGTGGCCATAAATATTTCCCAGTGACTGTGCCTGAAATGATTGAGAACAATGTCTACAAAATTTGCCAATTTTCTCTGGTTTAAAGCTAAATACCCCCTTCCCACCTCCCCCCCACACACACTACCTTTGTTTTCTTTAGCTGCTTCAATAAACATTATAATCTTAAGCCTAAATAAAATTTTACGTTACCTATCACAGACAATGCTTCTAAATCTCCTTGGTATGGCTACTTTTCAGCAAATTATCACTATCTGACATTTTAACTTAAGGAAAGGAAAGAATGATCTAATCCAGTGAATTAGATTATCTAGTCAAGTGAACTAGAAGAAATCTTTTTAAACACACATAATTTTTACTTTATAACCATCTGCTGCATAAAATATAGTTTTTCAATTTGCAAAATAATTTTTAAGACTGAAATGTTAATTATTTGATGTTCATAATTGTACATGTATGAATTAAGCTTATTAGTAACTTCACATACAATTTTATCATAAACCCATCTCCCAGATTTCTTCCATTGGCTTTTAAAAAAACATTTGTAGTTTTTTATTATTTTATTTTTTATTTTAATTCCCGTATAGTTGACATGCAATGTTATATTAGTTTCAGGCGTACAATACAGTGATTCAGTAATTCTATTCATTACTCAGTGCTTGTCAAAATAAGTGTACTCTTAATCCCCTTCATATATTTCACTCATCCCCTGTTCCCCATTCTCCCCTCTGGTAACCATCAGTTTGTTCTCTATAGTTAAGAGTCTGTGTTTTGGTTTTTCTCTTTTTTAAATTTGTTCATTTGTTTTGTTTCTTAAATTACACATATGAGTGAAATGATGGAATTTGTCTTTCTCTGACTGACTTATTTCACTTAGTAATAAACCCTCTGGATCCATCCATGTAGTTGCAAATGGCAAGATTTCATTCTTTTTTATGGCTGAGTAATATTCCATCATTGTTTCTATACCACTTTTTCTTTATCCATTCATCTATTGATGGACAGCTGGACTGCTTCCATAATTAGGCTATTGTAAAGAATGCTGAAATAAACATAGGGGTGCATATATCTTTTTGATTTAGTGTTTTTGTATTCTTTGGGTTAATATCCAGTAGTGAAATTATGGGATCATATGGTAATTCTATTTTTTAATTTTCAGAGGAAGCCTCCACAGTGGCTGCACCAGTCTGCATGTTGGGAACGAACAGTGCACAAGGGTTCCTTTTTCTCCACGTCCTTGTCAACATTTGTTGTTTCTTGTGTTTTGATTTTAGCCATTCTGATAGGTGTGAGGTGATATCTCATTGTGGTTTTGATTTGCATTTCCCTGATGATTAGTGACACTGAGCATCTTTTCATGTGTCTGTTGGCCACCTGTTTGTCTTCTTTGGAGAAATGTCTGTTCAAGTTTTCTGACCATTTTTAATTAGATTATTTATTTTTTGGTATTGAGTTGTAGAAGTTCTTTATATATTTTGGATACTAATTCCTTATTGGGTATATCATTTGCAAATATCTTCTCCCATTCAGTAGGTTGTTTTTCAGTTTTGTTGATTGCTTCCTTTGCTGTGCAGAAGATTTTTATTTTGAAATAATCCCAATAGTTTATTTTTGCTTTTGTTTCCCTTGCCTCAGGAGACATACCTAGAAAATGTTGCTATGGCTGATGTCAGAGAAATGACTGCCTATGCTCTCTTCTAGGATTTTTATGGTTTCTGGTCTCACATTTAGGTCCGTGATCCATTTTGAGTTTATTTTTGTGTATGGTGTCAGAAAGTGCTCCGATTTCATTCTTTGGCACGTAATCGTTCAGTTTTCTCAATATCGTTTGTTGAAGAGACTGACTTTTTCTCATTGGATATTCTTACCTCCTTTGTTGAACATTAATTGAGTATATAACCATGGGTTTATTTCTGGGCTCTCTATTCTGTTCCATTGGCCTATGTGTCTATTTTTGTGCCACTACCATACTGTTTTGATTTCTACAGCTTTGTAGTATACCTTGAAATCTGGAATTGTGATACCTCCACTTTGCTTTTCTCTTTCAAGATTGCTTTGGCTAACCAGGGTCTTTTGTGGTTCTGTACAAATTTTAGAATTATTTGTCTTAGTTCTGTGAATAAATCCTGTTGATATGCTATTTTTGCCATTTTAATTACTTATGTGTCTTCATGTGCACCTCCTTCGATTGATTTTATTGGGGACTCCCTGTACCTCCTGGATCTGTATTTATGTTTCCCTCCCCAGATTTGGAAGGTTTTCAGCTATTATTTCTTCAAATAAATTTTCTGCCCCCTTTTCTTTCTTCTTCTGGGATCCCTATAATGTGAAAATCACTATGCTTGATGGTATCACCGAATTCCTTAAGTCTTTTCATTTTGCATTATTTTTTTCCCTCACCTGTTCAGCTTGGTTGCTTTCCATTACTTTATCCTCCAGGTCACTGATCTGTTCTTCTGCTTCCTCTAGTCTATTATTTATTTCATCTCATGTATTTTTAATGTCATTTATTGAGTTCTTCATCTCTGATTGGTTCTTTTTTATGTTTTCTATCTTTTTGATAAGGGTCATTGATGTCCTCCACTCTTTTCTCAAGTTCCATGAGTATCTTTATGATTACTACTTTAAATTCTCTATTGGGCATATTATTTATCTCCATTTTGCTTATATCACTTGCTGTGATTTTTGTCCGATTCTTTCATTTGGGACATAATCCTCCGTCTCCTCATTTTGTCCAACTCTCTGTGTCTGTTTCTGTGTATTAGGAAAGTCAGCTACATCTCCTGCTCTTGAAAGTAGCGGCCTTATGAAGAAGAGGTCCTCTACAGTGTGGTGTCACCTGTTCATGAGAACCTGGCACTTCAAAGTGTCTCCTATGTGTGTTGTATGTGCCCTGCTGCTGTGGCTGAGCTACTTTTTCTTCAGTCCAGGCATCTGCAGTGGCTCTCTTTGCCTGTTGTGGGTAGGGTTTGGTCCCTGTGCTGTTAGTGGTCCAGTCTGGGGCTGCCTTGGGCTTGAGTTGAGTCAGGCCAGGCATTTGCCAGAGATGCAGTATCACTGAACTTTCCCCATGTTGTTCCCTGAGAAACTTTCATTGGTGGGCAGGTCCTGCACTCAGAACCACTGACTGTCCCCAGCCCATTGCTGGGGCCACAGTATGACGGGTGTGTGTGGTTATCTTTCCCTCTCCCCAGGCCAGGAGTCACTGTGGAGTAGTGCTGGCCCATGTCAGGTCTGTTTGCACACTACCAGGCTTGTAGCACCACTTTATTTTTTGTTTTTTTTTTTTGTTTTATTTTTATTATGTTATATTAATCACCACACAGTACATCATTAGTTTTTGATGCAGTGTTCCATGATTCATTGTGTGTGTATAACACCACTTTGGATGTCTTCTGGCCAAGAGTGTTAAAGGGGTGGATCCTCAAAGTGCATAGGGGCAGGAGGCAAGGTGTCAGCAAGTTTTTTGCTGATCTATGGGAGGGGACCTGCAGCAACTGGGACTAAAGCTGGTCTGACTGGAGGGGGACAGATCGACTGAAGTGCAAATGGTGTTAGCAAGTTAGGTAGTAAGTATTGGCAGTGCCATGCTGGTTCCTGCAGATGGCATGTTTATGCTGGGGTTTTAAGTCCCACTGGTTATAAGAACTTGTGAATGTCAGCCCCTCTGGTTTTCAAAACCAATGTAATAGGGATTCATCATCCCCCTGAGGGATCCCTGACATGAGAGTCTATTTCTCTCCCTTCTCTGTGCCTGCAGTGTCCCTCCCTCCCAAGGACAGCCCCAGCGGTCTGGTTAGCTCCCTACCACATCTTTACCTTTCCTACCCTCTTCAGTATGGCGTCTTCTCTACATTCAGTTGTGGAGTTTGTTCTGCCAGTCTTGGGGTTGTTTTCTGGGCTATTTACACTGATGTGAGTGTTATTTAGTTGTATCTGGGGGACAAGGTGAGCTTAGGGTCCTCCTAATCCACCATCTTTCCCAGACTCCCAATATTTGTACTCTTCCATTGGCTTTTAAATATGATCAGGTGTCTTCCATTTTAAAAGAAAAACTTCACTCAACTATTCATCTCTTTCATAGTCTACTCTATCTTTATCCTAAACTTTACAGCCGAAATTCAGCAAATATTCTCTGTCATCTCTATGTAGGCATCCCATCCATATGCATGGCTTTAATTGTCACCAAGATGCAAGTGATGGAAGTTTGTATTTTAGCCTAGATATCTTCTCTGAGCTAAAGCCCATACATCTAAACACTTAATGTGAAGAACCTTGAATATCTCAAACATTTTCATATTCAACATAACCAAAAGCAAACTCATAATATTCCCTCTACAATACACTCCAAACCTGTTCTCTTCCAGGGTTCCCCATCTCAGTGGGTGAGACCCACCTATAACCATGCAGTTGCAAAAGTCAGAAACATAAGCTTGGCATCCTCCCTTCCCTCACCAACACATATCCAACCCATTAGATAAGCTGTTTATTTCCCCCCCAAATCATCTCTCAAATTTCTCCCCCTTTTCAATCTGTACTATTACCACTCTAAGAAGCAAGCATCTTCATCTGAACCTTATAGCTAGTTTACCTTATAAACTTTTAACTAACTTATCACTTTATGACTGGTTTGCTGATACTTCACTTTGGCCAACCTCCAATCCAGTTTCCATATACCAACCAGAGTGATCTTTTCAAAACACAGATGTGATCATAGCATCTCATGCTTAAAAGTCTCCAATGGTTTCTCATTATTCTCAAGACAAGCAACAATTAATTACTGTAGCTAAGGCCATCTATTTAAACTCCTGCAATCCACCAGGGACTTCTTATTGTTTTCAGGAAAAGAAAAATCTGCTTACCTTGGCCTGCAAGCCCTTCATGGCCAGGGGGCTGCTCCACATCACTCAGCAGCTCCTCCCCATCTCCTGACTCTGGTCACCCTGGCTTCCCTCTCTCACCTGACTGCTCAGCTTCAGGTCATAGAACCTTTCCATAAAGTCCCTTCTCTCTTTGCTAGTTACCTCCTAGCAAAGTTCAGATCTCAGCTCAGGGTTGCTTGCTTCCAAGTTAGTTGACATTAGGGAAGTTGCTGGCCTATGTAACACCTTTTTAAGAATTAGAAGGCATCATCCCGTTTGGGCAGATGCTGTCCCACATCTAGTTCAGGGCTCCCTAAGCAGAGCACAGGTTGTATTTCAGTCCCCTGTTCGCCAGTGTTCAGAGGACAAAACAGCTGCAAGAAACACCCTCGGAGAAGCCTCCTACACGCTCATGGCTCCATCATGACAAGCCTTTCCTTCACAGCGAGTACCACGTGAGGACTGTCTCAGGTACTTGGGTGAGTGTTGGATTAATGCCTGCATCTTCCCCCAGGTATTAACATTGTGAGGGTAGGAACAATGTCTGTCTTTACTCATCACTGTATCCCCAGCATCTAGCAGCACAATGCCTGGCGTAGCCTCAATAAATACGTGGTGGATAAATGAATTAAGTTGCAACAGTATTTTAAAATATCATTTATATAACAATGTACAATGGGAAATGATAGCTCAATTATTTGGGAAACCATGAACATGGATATAAAATGAATGTAATAAAAGGTCAATGTTTGTTACTTGTGCTTCACCTTCTTGTTACTAACAACAAATGGGCATTTCTTCTCTGCTAATGGAACGTACCTTGCCAATAAAAACTTCCCGGTCCTCCTACTATGAGGTCTCCATTCTACAAAACAGAAACAGCAACAATTGGAAAAACAAAACAGATTTTTTTTAAAGGTGATAAATCATTGTTAATAAGCATTGCTCTAACAATTTGTTATACATAAAAAAGCAATTTTTAAATGAGGCCCTTCTATCAGAGGCATGCAGCTCATTTTAATTATTTTTCTTGCTTTCCACTATTTAGTGTGTTAGCATAGTAAATAATTTTCATTTGACTCAATTAGCTAAGTTGAATTCTCTCCCTTGAGGATATATAAATTCAGTTCTTTGGCACTGCCTCAGGTAAGCAAAATATATACAAGTTTAATGTAATTTAGTGTAATTTAGCAGACATTATCTTTTGAGACTTGGCAACAAAAAGAAAATTCGGTTTCTATTTATCTCAAGGCCACAGTAATGCCTATTTTTTCCATACATCTGCAACCACCTCCCTCTCCCCTTCTTAGGAGAGAAAGCAAAAACTCCAGACTAGCAAATATAAATTTTTCCTTCTCCTTACAACCCCACCTTCCAACCTCTGCATCCTTAACTTTCAGTGGAAAAAAAAGGACAATGATTTAAAAAAAAAGGCAATGAATTTTGTAGGCTGAAGAATTTTTTCTATACTATTTTCAAAACCATGAAATCTTTGTACCCTCTTACTAGGCATCTGGGTTTTTAATTTTGTGAAAGGATGTGTGAATTTTAATACTAATGTTAAATCTCATCAGTGAATTATAGCTAAGAGATAAAGCAATTCACTGATTCTTGTGATTTTTTTTGGAAGCACGTTTTTTCCCACTGAGTTTTTGAGATTTTTCATTTAAAATGACTATCACAAGAGATGGGAAGAAAGACTTGCTTTTTATCATATGTATTTCTGTGCTATTTTAAGAGTTTGTCATCTGCATAGATTCATAAAAATAAAGAGCAAACAAAAACATTTGAAGAAGTTGCCAAAACAGACTAGATATATATCTAAAGATTCTTTTGGTGGTTGTGGTTTATGGGGTTGGGGATGGGAGTGAGACAAAGGGCAAGAGGGCAAAAAAAAAAAAAAAAATCAAACAGATAATACAAATATTAGAAGCCACAAGACCAAAGGAATTCACCTTATAAAAATCCAGACTAAATCCTGCTTGGCAGTAACCCTGGCCTTCTGGATCAGCATTACCTAGAGTGATCAAAATGTAGAAACGTTATAACATCATCATTCCCAAGGTATATTTTAATAACCAATTCAGGATATTCTGTTATTTTCTCTATATACTTCTAAATTTAAAATAACCAATATGTGTTTTATATTTTTTTAAATTCATTCTGAGTAAGTTATGAAATATATTTCAATTTATTTTCTTGTCCAAAATATCATCGTGATTCTCTAGTAAGATTGTTAGGAATAACGTCCCTTGGAGCTATCATACTGGGTTTTACAACTCATGTTTGTTTGAAGAAATAAACTCTCCTTCTTTCAGCTATGTTCTGCATTCTCCATGTGGCAGTAATGTGTTTCTGAGCTGCCTGAGTGTTCTATGCGAAGCCACATGTGTCATTCCTAAAGAAATCCCTTGAGCAAGAGAGAGGTAAACAAGGTCACCTGGGCAGATGCTTTCTGTTGAGGGTACCAACAAGGATTCCAATTTTAATGATTGCCAAGAGGAAGTTAATTTAAAATTGTTCTATTATCGTTAGTTAGGTACATTTGGAAATTGCATTTATGGTCACAATGAACCACACGGGCACACTGGAATAAAACAGTGTTTGCAAAAGAGAAAGCTCTCTAGTAATGGCTTATTTTGTATTCTATCCAATATAATTCACTAACTGAATGTCCAATAGGTCCTTACCGTACCGTTTTTAAAATTATGGGTAGGTCAACCCGTGGATTCCCAGGGGATTGTTATAAAAAGTTTCTAGGACATCAGGATCAGGAATTTACTACTGTCTACAGCTTCTGCTTCTTCTTCTTCTTTTTTTTAGATTTTATTTATTATTTGGCACAGAGGGGAGAGAGAGAGAGACTGATTGATCATGAGCAGGGGGTAAGTGTAGGGGGAGAGGCAGACTCCCCACTGAGCAGGGAGCCTGATGCCGCGCTTGATCCGAGGACCCTGGGACCATGACCTGAGCTGAAGGCAGACGCTTAACCCACTGAACCACCCAGGCACCCCCCATCTATAGCTTCTAAAATGCTTAGCATAAAATCAAAATGTAGTTCAGCGGGGGGGCATCTCAATCATTATGTAGTTTGATATGAACATGCAAATAATTACTCCTTTTTTTTTTTATCAAGGATATTATTCCTCAATGGAAACTAAGATAAGAGAGCAGGAAAGGAATTGGACATTATAATAGGAAAAATATATAGACTAGGTATGCCTGTTCCAGAAGCTTTTTGATAGATCTAGCCTTTCTAGCTTTTTCTAGAATGTCTTGTTTTTTCTTTCCTTTGGTTAGTCCTTAGCTAATTTTAGCATTGTCATCATCCATTTTTCTCCAGATGCTCCCTGTATATTTTAATACACTGTTCTGTTGCATACACTGTATTTTTTTACAATAATACCTGTTTTTAATTCAAATGTCCATTAATGCCTTGTGGGGTTCTTTTTTAAAGCTAAGAGTTTTTTCCCCCAGCTTTATTCAGGTATACTTAACATATAAAAAAATGCATATTTTAATATATGCATTTTGATGAGTTTGGACATAGGCATACACCCATGAAACCATCACCAAAATCAAAGTAATAAGGATTTCTATCACCTACAAAAAATTCTTGTGTCCCCTTGTTTGTTTGTTTTCTTGTGGTAAAAACACTTAACATAAGATTTAACCTCTGCAATTTTTAAGTGTACAACATCTTACGCTATATTTTTATGAAATTTCTTCCTTATTTTAAGTTGTATTTTGTGGTTTGTAGTTCCGAATGCTATAAAATTCCCTAAAGGTTCATGTGTATAACCTCCAATGTCTGGGTACCAGTTTTCTGGAAGTTCGTGTGTGTAAATATTTCTATACGAATACCTGATATATGATTATGTAAACATATATGTGTAATCTTGCATATATTTAGAAATATATTTTTCTAATATACAAACCTCTTCAGAAATCCTTTTTTAAAGCCAAGTCTTTCTTTCATTTTTAATATTATAAATTATTCAAAAAGGAAGAAATATGACTGTTCTTTGAAATTATTTTGTTTCAAAACAGGAAACTGAAAAACTTAAGAGAAAATACTAATTTTTTATGAAACTCATTGAGAAAATAACCAACTTCAAATGTTTATTTGAAGCAGTGGTTATAAGAAAATGTGAGGTAATTTTTTCTCTTAGAGTTATAGTTCATAGAGCTAAAGGAATCTATCTTCCTGGAACTTCAGAGCGTCTGTAAATTTTAAAATTATGTCCCAGAATGAACTCAAGAATCCAGGGAATCATGCTGATTGGAAGACCATATGTAAATAATCCTCACCTGAATTATGAATGATCATAAGAGCTGTAGGCATGTCATGAATATGAAAGAGCAGATTAGTTCCCATATTGCTAAACGTATCAGTGGGGTATGTTTGTGATAGGGAATGAGCATGAGAGAGTTCTTTAAATTCTCTTTTGAAAATAATATTGCTGGTGTTCCTTCTGTGATATTGACCATATGCTCCTGAACAAGCTGGCTTTGTGTTAATGAACTGTAAACACCCAAGGGAAGGACAGGAAGTCTGCTCCTTGGGTGAATTTAAGGAGGAAGTATTTGTAGTAAGAGAGTGACCACAAGGAATATGAAAACTGTAGCTGTGTACTAGAGTTGGAAGAGTTCTTGGCAATTTATTTAGCTATTCTGCAATTCAACATGAACTCCATTTTTACCTTAGTCAAGTTGTTCTTTTATTTAGGAAAATAAACAGTAAGTAAACTGGCACCATAATGTGCCCGTGTCACTCAAGACACAGGCTGCTATAATTCTTATTTTCAGGTAAAGGCTCAGACTCACGTCTAAGTGCCATGTGCTGTGTTTTAACTTGAGTTCTCTCATCACAGAGGCACTCAGCCAAAAAGGCAGAATAAGAGGCAGTGACAAATTTTATAAACGATCACCCTCCATGTTGGTTGGAAGAGTATGAGAGATCACCAAGGCAAGAGGAGTGTGAAGGATGGGCTCACCATTTCAGCTATACTAGTTTACTGTACTGGGGAAGGCTTTTTAGCAAATCATGAGCAATATGATATGAACAGGATTGGTGAAGCATGTTCCGTGTTAAATCTCAGCCCTACCATTAGTTTTCTGAGTAAATTCAGGATTTTATTTATCTCTCTACTTGACTTTTATCTTTAGCATAATAGTAATGGCCTCATACTGAACCAAGAACACAACACTCTGAGTGGGACATGACTCAAAATATGCCTCTGTTGGCTGTTGGCTGTTGCCTATACCTGGCAAACTCCCGCTTGCCCTCTCCAACAGCCATTTGCCAAGAGAGCTCTTTGGTCCTGTCTCAAAGCTCCTCTCCCCACCCAGGCAGGCCATGTCACTCCCTACTTGCTTGCCTTATTATATTTTTTCTTTGTAGCACTTTTTGCTATATGACGTTATATTATGAACTTATTCTTTTAAAAAAATTCTTTTCATTGATATATAATTGACATATATTATTAGTCCAAGGTATATAACATCATGATTTGCTATATGTATATACTACAAAATGATCCCTACAGTAAGTCTAGTTAACACCCATCACTACAGATCATTATAAATTTTTTCTTTTCTTTTTTTTTTGTTGAAGATTTTATTTATTTATTTGACAGAGAGAGACACAGCAAGAGAGGGAACATAAGCAGGGAGAATGGGAGAGGGAGAAGCAGGCTTCCCACTGAGCAGGGAGCCCGATGCGGGACTCAATCCCAGGACCCTGGGATCATGAACCAAAGGCAGACACTTAACGACTGAGCCACCCAGGTGCCCCATAAAATTTTTTCTTATGATGAGAACTTTTAAGATCTACTCTCTTAGCAACTTTCAAATATACAATACAGTATTCCTAACTATAGTCACCCTCCTGGACTTTACAGCCCCTGGACGTTTTTATCTTATAACTGGATGTTTGTACCCTTTGGCCACCTTCACCACTTTCACCCATCTTCCCACCCCCCCACTTCTGGCAACCACCAATCTGTTCTTTGTATCTATGAGTTTGGCGGGGGGGGGGGGTGGTGGTGGTTTTGCTTTTGTTAGGTTCTGCATATAAGTGGTATTTTTCTTTGGTATTTGTCTTTCTCTGTCTGACTTATTTCACTTAGTATAATGCCTTCAAGTTCCATCCATGTTGTCCCAAATGGCAGGATTTCCTTCTTTTTATGGCTAACTAACATGCCATTGTACATATATATAACATCTTCATTATCCATTCATCCATTGACAGATGCTTAGATTGTTTCCATGTCTTGCCTACTGTGTGCAATGTTGCTATGAACGGGGCGGGTGCAGATATCTCTTTGAGATACTGATTTCATTTCCTTTGGCTATATACCCAGATGTAGAATGACTGGATCTGAACACTTACATGTTTGTTGTCTGTCTCCCCCACTAGAATGTAAGTTTCTTAAAGATTGGGTTTTATTTTCTCTTGTTCTGTGCTTTATTCCCCAAACATAGAATAATTAGTGTTCAATGTGTTGAATAGATACATAATTGAGTCTCTTTATCAACAAGGAACCTCTGTTTTAAAGCCATTTAAAATAAAACCTTAATTTCACAGATTATTCATTCAGCTGACATTTGTCATGATGTGAGGAAGTGGCTAATTAATTTCAATATTTTTAAACAAAAGTCATGATCTTCTCTTTGCCAAAATCCTCCCCCAAAACCATCTGAGTTAGCTGTTTCACTTTGATCTTCAGATTAAATCTCAGTGGCTTCTTTATTAACCCTCTGATATCACTGATCCATTCTTTATCTTCATTGTTTTATTTCTTTTTTTAAAATTTTTTTATTATGTTAATCACCACACATCATTAGTTTTTGATGTAGTGTTCCATGATTCACTGTTTGTGCATAACACCCAGTGCTCCACGCAGAATGTGCCCTCTTTAATACCCATCACCAGGCTAACCCATCCCCCCACCCCTCCCCTCTAGAAACCTAAGTTTGTTTTTCAGAGTCCATCATCTCTCATGGTTTGTCTTCCCCTCCGATTCCCCCCCTTCATTCCATTGTTTTATTTCTGATATGTGTTTATTACCTTGCCAAAATTAATCTTTTTTTTTAAAGATTTTATTTATTTATTTGACAGAGAGAGACACAGTGAGAGAGGGAACACAAGCAGGGGGAGTGGGAGAGGGAGAAGCAAGCTTCCCGCTGAGCAGGGAGCCCGAGGCGGGGGTCGATCCCAGGACCCTGGGATCATGACCTGAGGTGAAGGCAGACACTTAACGACTGAGCTACCCAGGCACCCTGCCAAAATTAAACTTGAATCTAAAAAAAATTCACACAAAAATGGTGAAATTTTACTTAACAGTTTTGGAAATCTAATTTGGAATTGGGTTGTTAAAAAATCAATTTCCTGAAACCAGTTACCAGAATGTTCTTTCTAATGACATTTCTTTCCTCAGTGTGGTTTTGCAAACTATCAGGAATATGAATGAAAATCCATTGGTTGCTTTCTGACAAATCTCACTGATCGACACGACAGGTAGAAAACTGGAAGAATTCACAAAAAGACTGAGTAGATCTACCAATTGGAAATGAATGCTGTCCCAGGGCGCCTAGATGGCTCAGTCGGTTAGGCAGCTGCCTTTGGCTCAGGTCATGATCCCAGGGTCCTGGGATCAAGCCCCGCATTGGGCTCTCTGCTCCACAGGAAGCCTGCTTCTTCCTCTCCCACTCCCCCTGCTTGTGTTCCCTCTCTCGTTGTGTCTCTCTCTGTCAAATAAATAAAATCTTTAAAAAAAAAAAAAAGGAAATGCTATCCCAAGTCCGGGAGTGTTCCACCAAGAAGTGATTAAACAGCTGTGCCCCAAAGATGGCACTTGCAGGCTTGCTTTCGAGGATGCTTCGCTGGAAGCTCCCTAGAATGGCCAGAAGAGACTTACACTCTAAGTATACAGAGTCTTTTTTAAAAAATGGAGATTAAACACCTAAAGGAGAGAAGTGTGCCATGCAGATAACTGGAGCACAAGACTACCAAAGAAAGCAACAGTTGTCAAGAACACAGGCTGCAAGGCGCCTGGGGGGCTCAGTTGGTTAAGCATCCAACTCTTGATTTCAGCTCAGGTCGTGATCTCAAGGCTGTGAGATCAAGCCCCATGTCGGGCTCTGTGCTGGGTGTGGAGCCTGCTTAAGATTCTCTCTCCCCCTCTCCCTCCGCCCCTCCCTCCCACTCATGCTCTCTCTCTCTAAAAAACAAAGCAAAACACCAAACACATGCTGGACAGAAAGCTGACGTCAAGAGTGTCCCCAGTTCCAAGCACAGTAGCTAGTTAAGACCACTCCTGCCATTAAAAAGTGAAGTGCGTGGTCAGCATTCTTCAGATCACAGCCTGAGTTTTGGAGAACTGAGAGTTTAAGGCCTAAAGTAAGGAACCAGGCAATTCTCCTGCAAAGTATCTAAAAGAAATTTTCTACAACATGGAAGAGGATCAACAGAATTCTGTGTCTTCCCCGCCATGTCACAGCAAGGCGTCCCGAAAGGCTGTCCGTCACCTTCACCCCCATCTCTTTGTCCTTATTAACGGTGTTCTGACATTGCCTGCACCATCTACCACAGAAAGGCTCTTGAGTTAAATTACAGTTTCAAGGAATAAAATCACTTACTGTTCCGACAGGGAGAGTACTCTGCGTACGCACTGAAATTCTGGATTGCTACATAGCAAGTGCCAACTGGGTCCTTTTCTGGTGTTGGTTTGAGAGTTCTCCAGTGATACAGAGAGGCGCAGGCCTGTGATACAACAAAGACAATCAATATTTTCTTGACATAGTTTCCACATACCATGATAGGATATAGCTTGTTGACTAAGGTACCTAAATTCATGATAAACTACGTTAAAGTAGGGGGTGAATTAATTGGCTTCCAGCATGCTGGTAAGTAGTCAGAGTTAATGAAACATCCAAAGCCAGTTTTTTTTTTTTTTTTTAACATTAATGTACCACAGAATCAGAACAAATTAAACATATAGAAAGGAATGAGATTTTCCCCTACAGGATTTTAAGTTAAATAAGTGTCAAAAGTGATTGTTTCCTAATTGAGGGTTGCTGGAGTGGTGGGGGGTGGGAGGGATGGGGTGGCTGGGTGATAGACATTGGGGAGGGTATGTGCTATGGTGAGCGCTGTGAATTGTGCAAGACTGATGAATCACAGACCTGTACCCCTGAAACAATTAATACATTATATGTTAAAAAAAAAAGAAGATATCAGGAATGGAAAAATGAAGGGGGGCGGAAATCGGGGGGGGAGACGAACCATGAGAGACGATGGACTCTGAGAAACAAAATGAGGGTTCTAGAGGGGAGGGGGTGGGGGGATGGGTTAGCCTGGTGATGGGTATTAAAGAGCGCACGTTCTGCATGGAGCACTGGGTGTTATACGCAAACAATGAATCATGGAACACTACATCAAAAACTAATGATGTAATGTATGGTGGTTAACATAACATGAAAAAAAAGAGTGTTTCCTAATGGCAAAGAACTCACATCTTCTTTTCTTTTTTAAAAATATAGGACTTACCTAGAATCAAATGATCATTGAAGCAGTGAATAAATCAGTGTGATGTCTTAAAATGAAGACTAGTTACTTTCTTTGTCTAGTTGTTACATTAAGAAATTATTTTCAAATCAAAGGATGCAGACAAATTTGTAAACCTCTGTTTTGTGGATTTCCCTGGTTTGTCACTGACAGTACATCTTACAACTTTTTAAACAATGACTTTCATTTGGACACGCTTACCACAGTGTTCTTGACTTTGTTTTTCATTTAATGGTTTTTATTGGCAACAAAACAAAAATTAATTTAAACAACAGTAAGAAACATGATTCTTGCATAAAATACTCTGGTCTTTTCTCCAGAAGCTTGGATTCTAACAAAAGCATGGTATTTGCAAGGGTATCAAATATGAAAGAGAATATATGAAATCCTCTTTAAGTAAATTAAACAATATTAATTTTGTTACAAAGGAGAGAGTCAATGAAATAAATGTCTAGAAAACATAGGCATCTTTTTGACTTGTTTTGCTAGCTAGAATCCTCCATAAGTGTGTTTTACCTGATTATTCAAGTGCTCATTATTCTCAGGACACGTAATTGCAGATTCCTAGAATAGGGAACCACTAGCCTACCTCCTAGTTTGATGGTATCTCTCTTAAAACGATGCCAGAAAAATGAAGGCAGACACTGTTTTTAAAGTCTTTTCATATTCCAAATGTGTCCTTGATAATCGGTCCCCTGCGTAACTACTTTTAGTAAAAATAACTTATAGTCTCAAGTAAGAAGAGTGTTTCCACTACTTGAGTTTTTTGGTATTGTGAGGTCCTGGCCAATACCTAAAAACTGCGAATCTCATCCATGTTCCCTATCTTAGGGCCCTTTTGGTAAACTGACAAGTTATATGGTTAATATGTTTAACATAAAGTTCCCACAGTGAAAAGCAGGAGTCTGGGCAGTGCAGACATTCACCTGTGCCACCAGTAGTCTGCCAAATGACCTCACCTGCTAGATCCCCACGGCACACTTAAATGCCAGGAAACTTTTCCCCAGTACTTGCCTGCTGTCAGCTCTAGAAAGTTACCCTTTTTATATCTGCTCAGTTTCACACTGATGTGAAACATACTGATGAGATGAATTTGGCCTGTGACCCAAACTTAAAACATACACATATGACACCTGGATATTCAAAAGAATACTTCAGCATTTTGAAGTTCTGATAATTATCACATAGGGTAGAATTTATTTCCTTACCCTGCTAAGTTTCAGTGCTCAAAGGAAAAAATTAACTTGAAATACACTTAATATTATCTTATTTCCTTTCACATAATTTTGAAAATGCAAGCATGCCCCCAAATTAACCATTTTTATTATGAATATGGCATATGATTTCATTTTCAGTGATCCTGAAGGCTTCTACAAGTGTTGAATAACTTGTATAATTTATCTGTAAATTACAGATAAATTTTCAAGACTTAAAAATATCAATATAGTACCCAAAAGATTTTTTTTAACCCCAAATAGTTATTGATGGAAGTAGCTAGCTTTCCAAAGAAATTCACATATCATACACCACAAAGGATAAAAAGGTTTTTACCAATTCTGGAATGTGAAAACCATATTAGTGTAAGTACAATCCTATAGAGACCATACTGTAAATTCTGGATTTGTAACTGGAGAGGGCTATCTGTATTTTATACATTACCTGTTTATGTCAAAATCTCCTTGGGGGGTTAACCACAGACCAAATAAAGCAAGGCATTTCCTTTAGATACTTATTCTTATTAAATCATAATTCAGGCAGCTTTAAACAAATCCTAAAAGCAAAGTTATTGCTTTGTTGTTGTAAGGAAATCAAAGCCAATGGTTTAAAAAATTCTCCCAAGAAAAAAAATTTCCAGATCAGCCTAATACAGTCATTTATTTCTCAATAACTTAGACATATATCATTACTTGAAACAATAAGAGAATAGAATTATAAAGTCATAGCATTTTAAAGCTGAATGACATCTACTTGGGAGTGAGATTTTTTTGCTTTAAAAAGTATTCATGTATTCAGAGAACCAAGTAGGTAGTAGTTATATTTTTAAAGAAAAATTTCCTTTAGCTTTAAAAATGATCAATGATGCCACAGTATATAAACTTCTAAAGAATCCAAATGGCAGTCCTGTTTCTCTGGTCAGTGTGTAATCAGCCCTTTAAATCAATCTTAAGCAACAAAATATTTACCTCCTTAATATTTAGCTTTTATTTTTCTATCTTCCTTAGTTGTTTTTGACATATTCAAAAATATCTCACTGATGTGGAAAACAAGATTTATCTCCTTTAACTTTAAACACTAGAATAGATTCTTTAATTTTAAGCACCAAGTTTATTTTTAGAATGCTGACAAATTTATCATTAAAAATCTGGCATGTCCTTACATGAAAGTATTTTTATAAATATGAGCTTTGAAACATTTCAGAATACATATTATTCCAAAGCATCCCCATGATTCATACTCACCACAACTTCCCCTTTGTGAGCTTTCACTGTTGCTCCAAACCACTGATTGGATTTAAATTCTATAGGTTCCTTGGTTCCGTTAACTCTGATCTTTCTGTTGTCTGACAAGGAGGACATGGAATAGTTAATAATTTGTAAAATGTGGCAGCCAGATATAATGCGTAAAAATGAACATGTCCATTAAAAATACTTGAAAAACAATTTTCATACATGGAGGGGGAGGTTCTAATCAAGATTTTTCATTTAGAAAAATACCAAACGAAAATGCATATTTGAACATGACATTTCATAACTTAGAAGAAGCAATTTTTTTTACAACTTGTTTTCAGAGATAACTGTATTATAAACTTGATGTGGACTCTGCTAGTCTTGAATCTACACGTTTGTCATTGATTTATAAAAGTTCAAAGACCAGATACTTATAACTGCCCTAAGGAATTCCAAATCTTTTCCAATAGGGAAACACACAGGAATCTCCCTGATCAGAGAAGCACGAGTTTCTTGGCATGAGTTAGCAGGAATGATTGTGAAGGACTCCAAGGTCTTGGCTTTTAACTGAGTAACATGTTTCTAGGCAGCCACAGAAAATAACACCTCAACACAGTTTTATATACACTTTGCAGATGTCAGAATGAGGGGGGCCATCTGGGTAGAAACTCAACCCAATTATAGCACACTTCAGGTCTTAATAAAAAGCAGATATCTTTTCTTTCACTCTTGATTCCGTCAACGTATTTCCCACATGGTTCTAACCGCATGGTTCTAACTGGAGCTTTGTCAGTAATAGCTAATGAATTTCAAAAGACATTTGTACCAAGGCATTTTATTTGTATGTGTTTCCTTTGGTATGCATTTCATTTTTCTTCCTTGACTCTATAATAAATGCATTACAAAATGAACTTTTAACTCCTATTAAGTGAGGCCAAAATATACATGTAATTAACATTAAATTGAGTTTACATATGATTACAGACTTTTACAAATTATATATACTCGATCTTAATCTAAAATTTACATTTTACATGTTAGTAGAAAATCATGAATTTCCTTCTTAAAAACCTTATGCTTTTGTTGTTTCCGAGCTTTTTTTTTTTTAAGACAAGTTCTGTAAATCCTTACCAGAAATGCACACAACTAGCAAAGAACTAGAGCATCTTACAGATTATAGCATACACTTGAAAATATAAACATTTTTATTTATATGTAGGCACTTTGGAAGATTGTAGAGCTCAGAGACAAAGAATCTTATCACCGTTAATTGAGTGACTGGGGACAATTCTTTTAATCTTTGGAGTTTTGATTTCTTCTATAAAACGAGGCTAAGATTACCTTCCCCCTTTCCTCTTTCACAGGTGGTCAAAGTCATAAAGATCACATGAGATAAATGAAACTGAAAGTGCTTTCTTTATAAGCTGAGAAGCTGTACACTACAGAAATCATGTAGCCATACAGTTGAAAGTCCAAACCCTTTACAAATATCTCTTACTTAGAAACCTGGAAACTCAACCAAAGTCCAAGAATTGGAAAGGACCACACACACACACACACACACACACACACACACACACACACACACACACACACATATGTTATTTATTATTGGTGATTTTTGGTACTCAGCAATGAAATTACTAACACCTCTCAAGATTGTCGATGTGGCTTTGATTGATTACAGGATGAAAGTACAACACAGTGGCTTTGAAATTTCCAATCTGCTAAAAAGCCATGAAAAGACCAGCACCTCCAAAATTTCAAATATCCTTAAAGGAGATCCCTCCCAGGTTCCTGGGAGGAAGGAAATGGATTCTGGGGAAAAAACAGAAGCCACTTTCAAATTGACCTTGTTTTGCTAGAGAAAATGATGTGACTTGGCCTTTGTGACTCCTGAGACATCTTTTCTGCTGTTCTGAGGTTGAACTGTGTAGTAACTGGATTAAAAGCGTCAACTATGGGTTATTTCCCAGCAACAATTTCTTCTGGACCAAGAATCCAAATGAATGGACTTCACTAATTCCACACACAATCCAAGGATTACAAGAGAGACTTCCACTGTCCTCGGTTTCCATTTACATAGATGAGCTTCAATCTCGATGTGTCATCCATTCTACGATCTTTGAAGTGGACAAACCACCTTTTCAAAATTCTGCTTTATTATTTCAATAAGTTCTCTGACTTTAAATCTAATATCATAATTGCATAAAATTTCAAATGAGCGAAATATACTTGGGCTTGACTATGGAAGTGAACTTTCCCAATTTCCCACCTTCCTTTTCTGAACAAGATTCTTTCATGCCGAATACCCCAACACAAGTCTCCATGCTATCTGTTGCACACTGGTGCTCAAGAAACCTCCCATGCAAGGACAATGTGTTTGATTTGATTTGATTTGATCTTTACTGACAACAACCCCCAGGTAATATCTGTAAATACTCAGCTTCTGTCCTACTGAGCCCATCTCTCTATGGCAGAGGACTGAAAACCTGGAATGTACATTTCCTAGACATTCTTACCAGTACGACTCTGGTTGAATGAGAGGCTCGTGAGAGGTCTGGAAAGAGAAGACGGAGAAGCCATTATGTTCTGGAGGCGGTTGTGGGCAGGCATGCACATCAGCGGTGACAGATGTGATGTTCTTCATGCAGCTCTCAAGCATCCCTTGATAATAATTCCTTTTTGGTGCATCAGGCAACAGAGCTCAAGTCCTGAACTTCCATATTTTTTCATCTGCAGATAGTGACCTTCCTGACCTTCACAGCCCCAGTCTTTCCAATGGCCAGGTGAGCCTCTCTGGCTCTGTATGCAATTGCTTCTAAGTTGTAATACTCAAAGTTGTTTTGGTTTTCCTGACCAAATTCCCACTGATGCACTGATGACATGGGGCAATGCAATCAGGATAGAGAAATGTGTATCTATAGCAGAAGGAAGACACTGGTTACCCTAAGTGCATTGTCAACCCCAGAGAACTCTTGAAAGGGCCAGTGCACTGGTTCTGGGAGATGGTGGAGACCGTTAGTCACCTAAGCAATTCTCTCCTTGGCATATCACCAACTATGGAGAAAATAGAGCCATAAGCTAGGGAAAAGTTTTATAGTGACTGCATATGATTTAAATCTTTCTAAGCAGCAAAAGACTATTAAAAATTAGTAAATAAATGAAGATCCAGGTGAAACTTTTTTCAAGGGAAGGATCAATATATTTAATATATAAAAAATTCCCGAATCAAGGAAAGACTAACATTGTACAGGAGAAAGTTCTAAGGACTTGAATAAGCATTGCAGAGTGAAGAAGAAATTAAATAGCCTGTAAATTCATGGACAGGTCCTGAGCCTCAAGTGAAAACAATAATGGCTTAACACTTGTCACCTACCAGTTTGGCAAAAAATATTAATATTCACTCTGTTTGCAAGATGATAACTCAACATAGTATTTTGGAAGGGCCATTTGGCAACATATGTCAAAGTTTTAAATGTAAATTTTTTAAAGGTTTATTTATTTTAGAAAGGGAGAGAGAGAGAGAGCACGAGTGGGAGGGGCAGAGGAAGAGGGAGAGAGAATCTCAAGCTCACTCCAGGCTGACCACAGAGCTCCACATGGGGTCGATCTCATGACCTTGAGAGCAGGGCCTGAGCTGAAACCAAGAGTCAGATGCTTAGCCGACTACACTACCGAGGTGCCCCTAAATGTACATTTATTTATTTTTTATTTATTTTTAAATTTAATTTAATTTTATTATGTTATGTTAGTCACCATACATCATTAGTTTTTGATGTAGTGTTCCATGATTCATT